CCTGGAGCCCAGCCTTACAACTACAGCCTTCAAGCTGGGAGAAAGATCAAGATATGAAGAGTTAATGAAAGGCCGATATAGACTTCCTAGTACCATAAGATGTTTAGTGTGCAGCGCTTAGTGGAAAGAGATGGAAACTAAAAGTGGAAATTAAATGTAATTGTAGTTACTAGACAGTAAAAATCTGGGAGCTGAATTTCCAGTTAAAGAAATACATGAGTAAGTTTCACTTTCCTGAAAATGATGAAACTATCAATGATATGGCATGACTTCTGACTGGAAATAATACAACAGAAGCAAAATGCAAGTTCTCTCTAGCAGATCTGAACAAATTTATGATCATTGCAGAAAGGCAGCTCAGATCATCTGAGACCCCCAGAACATTTTTTTTTTTCCTTCGATGAAGGGGATGTTAAAGGATCTCAACTTTCTGAAACGTTGTCTGAAGATTTAACTTCATTTTCCTTGTGGGGACACAGCCTGAATCTAGGCTGGATCATTCCTTAAGAGACTGAGTAAAGGAGTAGCTAGGAAGTATCCCAAGAGGCTAAGCTTTAGCCTAGTGCGATTTAACTTCATTTTCCTTGTGGGGACACAGCCTGAATCTAGGCTGGATCATTCATTAAGAGACTGAGTAAAGGAGTAGCTAGGAAGTATCCCAAGAGGCTAAGCTTTAGCCTAGTGCAGAGAAAACCCAAATCTCTACAGATAAAGCTGCTTTATTTTCTGAAAGACTTTTAACATTTTTTCAACCCATTTCTGTCCCCAAGTAAGCCCACCCGATGTTTTTCATAAAAACATTCCATACCAGGGACATTCTTCAGTTTCTTTCATCAGGACTGATGACTTTACACTAAGCGGGGTGGGATGGGAGGGGGAGTTCCTAACAGCTGATCCCAAACCCTGAGAACTCATTAATAAACTTAGTTGGGTGGTGAAATAGAACTACACTCAACTGCAGTGGAATTAAACCGCTCGTGTAGAAGAGAGCCATCCCGTCCTCCAAACAAAGGCCAGCCCAGTGGTCGCTTGGAATTCCATCTCTGAACTACTAGGTTTTTAATCAAGTTGGAAAGGGAGGGGAAACATTAAAGCATGGGAGGATCTTAACCTCTGGCTTTAGAAGGCTAGTTTCTCCGAGTTTACCACCTGTCAGAGAGAAGTATCCTCCTGCATCCTAAGATTATAGGATTAAGTTGAGAGAAGGGCTTCAGTTCTGACACGGGGCTTTAGGAATAAAACTGCATACACTTCTTGAATTTCTCTGACTGGTCAAGGGCAGCATTCATTGCTCCAGCATTGTTGCCTCCATCAGTGTATCTCAGATCTCCAGGGGGTGTTAGAGGTCAGGGTGTTCTGTTTGAGATGAAGGAGGGTGACCTGAACCCCACAGAGCCTCTGTCAGAGAGCCAGCCCTGGGCTGGAGAGACCCCTGGGAGGCCTGGAAATACCATAGCTCCCAGGTGCAGAAGTTTTCCAGGACATATTCATGTTTTACTTCCTCAACTCCTCACGTGACTTTGTGGGCAAACAGGGCTGCTGTTATTTGCTCTCTTTCACAGAGGAGAAAGAAGCCACTGGGAGGTACAGTGATAACACGTAACCCGGTAAGCAGGCTTCAAATCTTGATCTGATCCCGGTCTGGGGATTTTGTGCACAAAAGGTCTACTTAAACATACTCCCGGAGTGCAGGCAGCAGTCTGAGTACGCACCCTGATGTATAAAGGTCGGCAGTTCATTAAACAGAGTTCAGGTTTTCCCCGTGATCTTGGCTTGGTCTGCCCTCCGTCATTTCAGTTCCAGACCCACCACCTAGCCCCCCCCCCGCCAACAACCCCCCCCATTTTGCTCTGGTTTTTTTTGTTTGTTTGTTTGTATGTTTGTTTTTGCAATGTAAAATAATATTTATTTGCTTTTGCAATGTGTAAATTAAGGGCATGAGTTCTGGAGCCCAGTAAACCTAATTCCAAATTCTGACGCTGACCCATATTAATTCTATGACTTTGGGCAAATTACTACTTTTGTCTAAACCTCATTACCTCATGCATAAAAATCTGGGTCCTAACTCATTGGATTCTTGTGAAGATTATACGAGATAATGCACATAGGTTTCTCATATGAAGGAGGCACTCCTTAAATGTTAGAGTTGCGAGAGGGCTTCCTGTCTGTCTGGACTTGGCTAATGACCACAAGTCCCCTGATTGAGAGGGACACTCCAGTGGACCACCTGTCTAGACAGTCCCCACACTCATCGCCCCTTGAGGACTGACTGCAGGGATGGGGGGAATGGTACATGGCAGGGAGGTTTATGAGGGATGGTTCCAAATTGGAACCATGAAACTGTTACAATTTCTATCCTTTGTTTTCCTCTTATTGTTTGGTTCTCAGAGCTATAGAATGATAAGACCTCAGAGTCCATTTGATTTGACCACCCTGTCCCCACTTAATCTATTCAGAGGGACAGTAGAACTGGTCAGCAGACATTGTGAGCCATGTGCTGGGCCAGGCTCTGGAATAAAGCGATGGCAGAAACTCAGTTCCTGCCCTGTGGAGCTCTCAGCCGTTTACCAGATGAAGACTTGAGTCTTGGAGAGTTGATGTGACAGGCCCAGTTATACTCCTCTACAGTGCCTAGGCCAGTCCCAGGGACCCCCTCTGTCCCCAGCCCAAGCCTCTCCCTACACCGCAAGGCCGAACAACACCCCCTCAAAATGTCCAAATCCCAGCTCCTTGTCTTTATTCTGAGATCTTTTGTTTCACCAACATTAACCTTAAGAAGGGGTTACTTGTCCCCTTGTGACTTGAGCCCCCCCCGCCCCCACCCCCATC